ATTAGACCAATTATGAATATTTCCCTTTTAATTAACTTTTAAATTTGTAGTTGATATTTTTGTATTTTTGTATTTTTATCCGGTTGTTAGCCGCCCTGAGTCCGCAAGGAGAAGGGCGGGATATAAATTTAAAAAATAAATAAATAAATAAATAAATAAAGATTGAGCTTTGCACATTCAGAATATGTGCTCTATGAGCTAAGGACCAATAATAGATGCTGGATTTGAAAAGAACTAGAATTAGATTTTTAATTTTGTTCCTTAAAAGACAGGGTCTATTTCTATTGTATTCCTTAAAAAATATCTATGTATCTTAGACACTGCCTTGATTCTGTACACAAGGAGAGCATTCATTCTGGTCTGAAAAACACAGTTCCTGGTTTGTGCTTATAATTGCAAGGCTGTAGCTTAGCTCCTGTTATCTGGTGCCATCTTGTTATGCAAATACAACAACATTTAATCATTTTCAACTTTTCAATGTCCACCCGAGTGTAGTAATTATTTATATTGAACCATTCTGCATATTCTTTTAACTTTATGTACAGGACTGTGATCACAAAGGGCGAGACAGAATGCTGTCCTTCCACCTTCTTTGATCCATAAATAGGTTATTTAATCAATAAGAATTAACTGTACTAGTTCTCAATATCTCATTATGCTAGTTCAATCCTTCAGAAAAATATCCAATACACAAATAAGTACTTTAGTAATTTTTAGACACGATATCCAATAATATGCATTTAAGCCTTTATACTGCTGTGTTATGTTGATAAGCATATATACATACTAGCTAATGCTATCGCTTCTGCTGCTGTCTTTATTCCTGTAATATTCTCTTTGCTGAATTTACTATGCTCTTTATAAGAAATTATGTAACTACAGGTAGCATTCAGGACAAAATAGAAGACTTGAAACTTTTACTGCTTAGAAAAATAGCTTATGCCGTAGCTGTGCTATAAACAGCTTTTCTGTGCATTGATACATGGATAGGACTCTCCAGCTTGCTAAAGAGGAGCTCAGCTGAATCTTTTATAATGCTCCATGGAGCAGAGACCTATACATAATATCAAAAATACAGTTATTTTCTTTTTCTTTGTTTTTTTGGCTGTATAATGTAGTGCTGGCACTGATGCTTAACAATTTTGTTAGGGACGCTAATTGTAAATGTGATCAGGTACATTTGGGAAACCCTTCAAAAGTTGTTTTAATTTTGGAGAAAGTCATCATTGGAAAGAAGACAAATATCTTATTCTTGAGATCAAATTAAATGAATAATATTTAAGAAGACCTCATCTTCAATGTTAACTTTTTGCATTGCAAAAAAAAAAATAGATAGCACGTTTGAAGTTTGGAGAGTGTTTTTTCAAACACTTCTCTTCCAGAACATCCATCCCAATAATCATATACATGCTTTGCCCAGAAATCATCAACTCTGAAATAGAGAAAGGGTGGATAGGAGTCCATAATTATTAGTTGCAAAAATAATGTTTCATTGTAAATGACATGATATCAGAGATGCCAGGATGTGGTGATTTACTTTGCACTCAGTGTTAGTCAGGAACCCTATAAATCTATAAATGATTTATAATGCAATTCATTTCAAACTGAATGAGTATTAACCACTATAAACCGCAGCTACAATAAAGCACACTGGGTCTGCATCTCTTTCACCCTAAAACCATTAAGAGAGTTTCATGTGTGCATGTTAAAAATTCCATGGCATGTTAACCTTACAGAAATCTCTGCAAAAAGCGCTTCATCTTATTCCTGGCATTGTCCAGTGGCAAAATTTCTCTAGCTGGCTATAAAATTTGGGTTTTTTTGTTTTTGTTTTTTTTTAAAGCTACCATTGGAATAAAATCAGTGATTTTAATCATTATGCCTACAGATGTCTCCATTGACCTTCCGTAGACTTCCCTCCTCACCTGACTTAAAAATGTGAGGCTAGCATTTTCAGAGTGCCAGCTTCTAGCTGTCTTCAATCATAGTTCTGCTTTTATTTAAAAAAATATAACGGGGAATGTCTGCTTGCCTACTAAGAATATACTTAGGTAAATGAGGTGGTAAAGGTCCTGGGAATATATATGCATTTGCCATCTGGTAGATGGACAATTTCTGTCTGGCTGCATCCATCATGGCAGCCATTTTGTGAATAGTCATCTCTGTCAATATTTTTTTCTGAATGAGGTACTTAAAATTCCAAAAATATGTCCCCCAGTCTTAACAACACAAGCATCTTTGAAGGAGTCAAGATAACTCTAAAGTGGCAGGTACAACATCACAATTGAAGCCCTAGCTTTTGTATGTATGTATAGGTACAAAAGGGCAGGGTATTGATGTGATTGCACACCTTCCCTCTTGCCAATTTTGATCCTCTAACAAGAATCTAAAATAAGGCTTCTTATTCTTAACTGCTAAGTTAGGGTAGGTGCTTAGAAACATGCTTGCTTCTAACAAGGCGTATTTAATAAACTGGTTGTGAAGCAGAAGAGGTGACAAAGTATACATTGCTAAGAGTCCTTACAAGGAGAAGCACATATCTTTACTAGTAACCTGAACACATTCTGCTTAATAATTGTACTTTTATTCTTTCAGGCAGCCAGACATAAAAGTATATTGAGTCAATTCAGGAGGCCAAGGCTTTTGTTTCCACCCAATACCTCTCTTACTGCAAAATATTAATTCACCACCCTTATTGATAGCCCCAAAGGTAGCATTTGATTTGACCTGGGATTATCAGTCTTTTGGTGTCAGTTCACAAGATAACTGAATACACCTCCAATCTCCTGCATCATATTTGCATTTTTTTAATGGGCAGGGGTATTCAGAACATGTCACTGATAGCAAAAAAACCAGAACAAGCTGCTGGTGTTTGTTCTGAAAAGTATGGATTAATCCAGATTTATAGAGCCACTTTTTAACTGACATAGATACCCAATGTATGGCCCCCTTAAATAAGAAGTTCTGCAATTACTTTTGGTCATGGTTTTATTGCAAAGAACAGTTATTTCAAGAGAAAATATTAGGTGAATGGGGTAGTTGAAAAAAGAAAACCTGAGTCAAATGTCTTAATATTTAATATATATCTATAATCTATATACTGTATATGGTAGTGATTCACTGAACAAAAAGATAATTCCCAGGGGGAAAAATGGTATAAGAATTTGTTATCTGAAATTGTTGGATCCTTTTGAAATTGTACCTTTAAAAAAGAGTTTATTTTAAATTCTGTTTTTATTCCACATTTTTCCAGGTAGATTAATAAATCTGGCAGCTGATTTCTGAAAGATGGTTGTTTGAATTTCTAATGATTTTATTTTTATTCATTCAACATAACTGAAAGGTTTACTGGAACAAAGCAAAGATGTCTCTCCTTGCTGCATCTACACACCACAGCAAGCAACTATCATAGTTTATGTCTGGCTTGCTGCTAAAAATCCCCCAAATTAAGGCAAACAAACTTTTTAAACACAAAGAAAACCCATTTCTTTGAGCAATCACAATGGGTTTTAACTGGCCAATCTTACTTGGAAACACAGTAAAACTTTATTTCACATCTGGACATGTATCTCTCTCACTTCATAATGGTAGCCTCATGATTGCTAGTAGCCTTATCACATATACTTGTTGCTTTTTCCATATCTGGTCAAAATTGTTCTAGTTGTGAACTTCTGAGATCTGTCCTATCCCTTTCCTTTTGTCTTTTCCTTATGAAGGCATTTTCATAAGTAGTTACTCAGCGTTGTTCTGGGAAAAATAAATATAGAAATTATATACGAGGTCAAAATGTGCCACCATGGCCTCTTGTAATGGTATGTGGGAATAACCTTGGAAGACAAGAGGAAGAGCTACAGTCTATACATCATCAGATAAATTCAATTTGTATCCAAAAGAAGAGGGGTGGTGAAAGCATCTCTTAAGGGAGGATCCCTAATTTTCATGAGAGTAAAAATGAAAGGGTGGGGGAATGTCACAAGTTCTTTTAAGTAGACTGAAGTCAGTAGGCTTCAAGAGAACCAATGCAACAACCCAGGTTCCAAGGCAACAAGCCTCCCCACTCACAGATTAGTACTCATTGTTCACTATTCCACTCTTCCTTACTACT